TTAATGCAGTAAATTAATGAAGTATATTTAGGGCTATTATTGAAAAACGCCAGCAAATTAATATCTAACCAACAACATTAGTTCTACTTTGATGACGAAAATTCGTTTGCTGGTGTTTTAGAAATAGACCTGTATAATTTTGAGAATTCGACATAGCAGCCATTATTTGATGAAACAGTTACGAATTAGAAGCACTTTAAAAACGTATAAAAGACTTCTCAACCAAATAATAACAAAACCAAACCAGTGAAGGATGGGTACTGAACACAAGTAACATTATTGATAGAATTTTAATTCCTTTAGCAAAGTACTACATACAGTTATGTCCAAAAAATTTTGTGGCGTATTTGCCACATTTTCAATTCTAAAGATTCAGAATTGAAACTGTTACCAGAATAGAAGTAGAATCACAAACTAACCACAATCTAAGATAATACTGATGATCTTACCTAATCCATCCGACTTGGTCGTGGTAGGTGTCGGTGAGGTAGTGTCCTTTGACCGCCTCCACTCCCTCGTGGTACACCACCGCAAACAGCTTGTATATCCGCTGGATACGAGTGTACTTCACTTTTGACGTCATGATCCCTGCAAGAATGAACGATGTGAGTCGGTGAACGAATTGTGGGGGACGGAAGGTGGGAATGGATAGTAACTCAGATAGTGTTGTCCACATGCAAATGATTTATTTTTATCATTTTCGGAGACGAAAAATAGAGAGCATCATTGTTGATTTAAATAATTTCATACAAATTATCTAGCTGCAGGGATAGTTAACTAATGGAGTTTTAATATTATATTATAACTCGGAATCGAGACTGCATCTCACCTTAATCTTTCTACATAGTAAGAGGTGAAGAAATCTAATACATTCACTCATTGCAAAGTATATTTACTTCATATAGCAAGCTTTGGTCGGTCGATATCTCATAAACCCAAGAAAAGCTGGCTGGGCTTTTCGAATAAAGACTACGTCTAATCAAACGTAGTTTAGGAACAAGCTCAGTGGCGCTCCTTTAGTCCAACAGTAAAAATACATTCTAATGGACTGATAGCTAAAAAGGTGATTGTTACACTCACGGGGGTCAATCTTCAGATCCACAGGATAGTCGATATTCTTCACGATCTTAGCTGTGTGTCCTTCAGCATCCAACTGGAAGCACTTCAGATGCAGCAGTAGGACCACAGGCAGCTGTTCCAAAGACAGCTGCTGCCAGGCGTCTGGTACTCCTTCCAATGTATCCTTGTTGGCTAGGAGTTCTAAGGCGTCTTTTACGCTGTTCGCGCGCTGAAAATAAAGGAATGTTTTAAGTTTGGTCTTGGGTTGGGATGTAGAATAAGGGGAGTTAAATTCGCTCAGTTAAGATTGTCCACATGGTATACACGTTGTGTATTTCGGAGACGAAAAATAAGTATGTACCATCATTGCAGAATAAATCTGTATGTACTTTGCCATTCTGGGGGACTTGGATAGTTTCAAGTGATGGTCGTTATGTTGCATGTTTCAAAAAGGACTTTACATAGACGTTTCTCAAACCTGAGCAACGCATACGCGTGCGACACCCTTTGTTCGCTTGTATCGTTCTGTGAACGCTTATGGCGTCTCATGACCCATATCTAGACACACAGAAGAGTTTGACACGCTTACACGCTACACGTTCCAGCGTATTTCTTACTTCAATATCCAGCTAGCGTGAAGAATGGCTGCATTGCGTCGGTGATAAGGACAGGCACGTGCGGCGCTCTTTAGTTTCATCAAGCCAAGTTTCAGCGTATCTCTTACCTCAATATCCAGCTGCAGCGTGAAGAAAGGCTGCACCGCGTCAGTGACAAGATGCGGCGCTTGCGGCGGGGGGCGGGGCGCGCGGGCGCGGTGCAGGCGCAGGCGCGTGCGGCCGCGGAAGATGTCGGCCACGGGCGTGCGACGCTCTTTTGTTTCATTGTATCATTCACAATGAAACAAAAGAGCGCCTGCGTCGCGCGTGTGACGTCATGCATACCTCTCTTACCTCAATATCTAGCTGAAGCGTGAAGAAGGGCTGCACGGCGTCGGTGACGAGGTGCGGCGCGTGCGACGCTCTTTAGTTTCATAACATAACGCTTGTGTCGTCAATGTCCTGTATCAAGCCAAGTTCCAGAGTGTCTCTTACCTCAAAATTCAGCAGTAGCGTAAAGAACGGCGTATCGGCGAGCGTGGTGCAGACAGGCGCGTGCGACGCTCCTTTGTTTCATTGTATCATTCACAATGAAACAAGAGCGCCTGCGTCGCGCGTGTGACGTCATGCATGCAGCAACGTAAAGAACGGCGCAGCGGCGAGCGCGGTGTAGACGCAAGCGTATGCGACGCTCTTTTGTTTTATTTCAAGACCATGCGTGTGATGTCATGTATCTCTTCCTTACCTCAATATCCAGCTGCAGTGACGAAATGCGGCGCGTGCGATGCTCTTTTGTTTCATTGTTCCTTAAGCAAGACTTCCAGCGTATCTCTTACCTCAATATCCAGCAGCAACGTAAAGAATGACGCAGCGGCGAGCGCGGTGTAAACGCAGGCGCGTGCGACGCTCTTTTGTTTTGTTGTATCGTTCCATGACCACTCGTGTGATGTCATGTATCCCCTCTTTACCTCAATATCCAGCTGCAGCGACGAAATGCGGCGCGTGCGATGCTCTTTTGTTTCATTGTTCCATGAACGTTCGTGTCGTATTGGCTCTGTGCACGATTACAGCGCCAACTAGCGTCCACAACTTTGTGGGCTCTGTCACATTGACATTTAAGTCGTATAATTGTGAAAAAATATCGAAATGTAAAAATAACAAATATTTTCAACCAATAAATTGTTGTGATACCACGATTTGGGTGGAAAAAAGGTTTTGAAATCATTTTGGTCATTCAAATCAAATGAGGTAAGTCCAAAAAGTGTGTTTAATTTTGATTGTGTCAGGGTTTGTTTACTTCATTTATAGTTGTAGTTTTACAGTAAAACAAAAAGATAAAGCTACTTTAACGGTTTCANATACCACGATTTGGGTGGAAAAAAGGTTTTGAAATCATTTTGGTCATTCAAATCAAATGAGGTAAGTCCAAAAAGTGTGTTTAATTTTGATTGTGTCAGGGTTTGTTTACTTCATTTATAGTTGTAGTTTTACAGTAAAACAAAAAGATAAAGCTACTTTAACGGTTTCATTATTAACAGTAAATATATTTAAATGTTCCTGTATCGCTAGTAATATATTAAATATCGTTTTCAGATCGAAATGAGTATTGTTTTGAAGACCGGGTTTGTGAGTGTTACAATATCAAATTCCAACCACAAACCGTATTTAAAGGAAAGTTGTTGGTATTGGCTGGACAAGTCCGAGATGTAGAAGAATTAAGAACAAAACAAGGGCAGAGTTCAATAATTCACGCTCTCATCATAAGGCAAACATCTGTGCACAACAACTACTGTGACTCATTTTTGTACTACCACGTTGTATAGTCTAGTTATTTCTAAATTGTAAACGGCTATTAAAACAGCCCTATCGAAATACAGTCCACTCTTTTATTTAAGTTCCCAGTAGGACCCTTTCCATGCTATTAATTAATGATATTAAAATGTATTATGTAGAATCGCTTAGCCATTGACAGATACATCTAATGACAGAGCTTACGTTATTTCTACTTTTGACCACCATGAGCGCTGCGATAGATTATGTTACCCCCACCTAGTACTTCGCACCCAGCGAATATCTAGACACATGGGAGCGTGTCAAGACTTCCAGCGTATCTCTTACCTCAATGTTCAGCAGTAGCGTAAAGAACGGCGCATGCGATGCTCTTTTGTTTTGTTGTGATTCCATGATAACTCGTTTGATGTGATGTCATGTATAGCTTACCTCAATATCCAGCTGCAGCGTAAAGAACGGCTGCACGGCGTCGGTGACAAGATGCGGCGCGTGCGGCGGGGGGCGGGGCGCGCGGGCGCGGTGCAGGCGCAGGCGCGTGCGGCCGCGGAAGATGTCGGCCACGGGCGTGCGACGCTCCTTTGTTTCATTGTATCATTCACAATGAAACAAAAGAGCGCCTGCGTCGCGCGTGTGACGTCATGCATACCTCTCTTACCTCAATATCCAGCAGCAACGTAAAGAACGGCGCAGCGGTGAGCGCGGTGTAGACGCAGGCGCGTGCGACGCTCTTTTGTTTCATTTCAAGACCATGCGTGTGATGTCATGTATCTCTTCCTTACCTCAATATCCAGCTGCAGTGACGAAATGCGGCGCGTGCGATGCTCTTTTGTTTCATTGTTCCTTAAGCAAGACTTCCAGCGTATCTCTTACCTCAATATCCAGCTGCAGCGTCAAGAAGGGCTCCACGGCGTCGGTGACGAAATGCGGCGCGTGCGATGCTCTTTTGTTTCGTTGTTCCATGAACACTTGTGTCGTATATCTAGACACGACTTCCAGCGTATCTTTTACCTCAATATCCAGCTGCAATGTAAAGAACGGCTGCACCGCATCAGTGACAAGATGCGGCGCGTGCGGCGGGGGGCGGGGCGCGCGGGCGCGGTGCAGGCGCAGGCGCGTGCGGCCGCGGAAGATGTCGGCCACGGGCGTGCGACGCTCTTTTGTTTCATTGTATCATTCCTTGAACGCTAATGTCGTGTATTTAGACACGCAGGTGCGTATCAAGCCAGTTCCAGCGTTTCTCTTACTAACATTCAGCAGTAGCGTAAAGAACGGCGCAGCGGCGAGCGCGGTATAGACGCAAGCGCGTGCGTTCTAATCGTTCCATGACCACCCGTGTGACGTCATGTATCTGTTCCTTACCTCAATATCCAGCAGCAACGTAAAGAACGGCGCAGCGGCGAGTGCGGTGTAAACGCAGGCGCGTGCGACGCTCTTTTGTTTTGTTGTATCGTTCCATGACCACGCGTGTGACGTCATGAATCCCCTCCTTACCTCAATATCCAGCTGCAGCGTGAAGAACGGCTGCACCGCGTCAGTGACAAGATGCGGCGCGTGCGGCGGGGGGCGGGGCGCGCGGGCGCGGTGCAGGCGCAGGCGCGTGCGGCCGCGGAAAATGTCGGCCACGGGCGTGCGACGCTCTTTTGTTTCATTGTATCATTCACAATGAAACAAAAGAGCGCCTGCGTCGCGCGTGTGACGTCATGCATGCAGCAACGTAAAGAACGGCGCAGCGGCCAGCGCGGTGTAGACGCAGGCGCGTGTGACGCTCTTTTGTTTTGTTGTATCATTCCATGATGACCACTTGAGTGATGTGACGTCATGTATCTCTTATATTAATTTCCAGCTGCTCGTGAAGGGCTGCACGGTGTCGGTGACGAATTGCGGCGCGTGCGATGCTTTTTTGTTTCATTGTATCGTTCCAGAAACGAGAATA